TGCGTGGATGCTGCGCAGCGCGACGACGCGATGACAATAATCATCGAGGACGCGATGTCGACGACGACCAGGACGTAAACAACGACTACTACAGGATGATGACTGGTCTACGGTTATACAGTTTAACCCTATGCTCCGATCGAGCTCTTCGGAGAGTGCAAGAGAGAAGAGTGAAGGGGACTGGCGCTCGCCACGGCTCAAGCGTATGATGATTACACAGCGCAAAACACGACGTGCACACGGGTTTATATACATGCGTACGTCATTGAGTTACGATACTGCATTGTTAACGCGGCATAAGTATGCGCGCGCGCGCGGGCGACGAAGCTGCTGACCGATACTACTGGCCGGCCGCGCATCAAGCCGCTGCTGATGGTGTACAGTTTCGGAAGGCATATAATGGGATTTGCTAATGGGCCTTCAACGTTATGAGCGTGGGTGCCTATGTATATATGTCGTATGCGTCGCAGTCATCCGTCGGACGCGACAATGTCCTGCGCGCGTAAGCCTTTCAACGATATGATGACGAGTAAATAATTTAACACGCGCATTTATAGGACGATATTTTATTTCATTTGCAAAAAGAGAGGCGCGCATCGCCCATCACGATATGGAAAGAGTCCGCGATCTCTTTTTATCCGTGGCATTTACATGTTAACGTTCGATGAGGATTTTCCTCTTTTTTTTCGATTGCTTTTTCAAATCGTGACTTCTCGTTGAATCATTAAACGACGCGATGACGGTTTTTTGCCCCTTTGATATACGATTCCTTTGTCGGCCAGGGTTTGATCGTTAAAATCGTTAAAAGTACAAAAATATATTATATTCTTTTTTTTCTCTTCACAAAGCACTGAACAAAGCTTGATTAAATCACGAGTACTGTAGACTCGAGCATACGTGCAGAGCAGGTCTGCGCGCGTTATCTTGAAACGAGTGTATTTAAACGCATGTATTCGGAAGCTGCGGGCGCTGCTCGCGATATACACAACTGCACAGTAACAGCAGCATCGGCAGCAGTCGCAACTCGCGCGATCATTGCCATATGCTCGAGCATCGAGAGCACATAGCAGTATAAATGCTCGTGTTTCGAAATCAGTGTAACACGTAGCAAGCTAGACGTATACGCGCTGGTGTATACCGTTCACTTGTCCAGGTGACGGTGGTTTTGGGCCGCTGGAAACAAAACGGCGCATCGTTTTAGAGATAATGCCGCCGCCGCGCTCGCGCCAAACGCCCGCACGCACGTGAAATCGCATTAGTTTCCTCTACGCGCGGCGGTGGCGGTGGCGATATTTACAGCGCGCGCAGCGTGTTGCATTTCGGATACGTGTCGTTTTATCGGCTAGACACACACACGCGCGAGCACAGCAGCAGTAGCAGCAGTAGCTCGACTAATTTCACCCTCTCGCTCTCCCTCTCTCCGTCTCTATCGTGTATGTTGGCCGATTTAATTCGTCGGACACGTTTGACGGGAATTAATGCGCCGCCAATTATTCCGACGCGCGATTCCTCACGCCAGACTGACCGTACACACTCGCACACGCGTGCGTGTTTGAGTATCGGTATATGTGTACCCTCTTTTACGTGCAGCACGAGCTCACGAGCCAGTGGTACAGTGGCGCTATATCAGTTTGAATATGACTGCGCAGCTTTTTTGAATGTCAGCGCCAAGCGGCGACTCCGATTAAAAAGAGATTGACGTTCATGCTGAATAATAGAACACTGAAAAGTTTCTAATAGAATAATTCAAAATCTTGATGATCCTTTTTTTTTAAAAAAAGATTTATACTCAAGCCAAGTATGTGTGTCCAGTACGGTCCTCATATTGAGTCTAATTTTAAAATAATTTCTTTTGTTTCATGTTTAAAACTAGTAATCTCAAATCTTCAATCAACAATTTCTAAACTATCATATTAATGAAATCAAATAAATTTCGTCAAGTATTCGAGCAAAGTAATAGAATAATTTCCAATAATTTAGTTTCTAATTGAATAATTCAGTAAGAAACAAGGTAGTGAAAGACGATTTTTCGCAAAATTCTTAAGACAAAGCATGTTGTATACATCTGTGTATAAGTGCGCGCATGCATATGGAGTACAGAAGGGAGCCATTCCAATGGATGCGAAGCAGCAGCGGTAATTAGCGCGGTTTGAGCTTTAAATCATCGGTTACAAGCCTCGACTGCTCGTTGCTCTTGTTTGTTGCATCGCTGCATGCGATAATGTAGATTAAATACGTTCTGTCACCGATTGTGCCTCCGTGTGCATTTTGGATGCCTCTTTTGGATGATTTCGCGAGAAATACCCACTCACAAAATTACAAAACAAGTTGAGTCTCTGACTGACGCACAAATGTTAGTGGAAAAAAAGCAGCAATGACGACACTCGTCACCGTTGGCATAATTCGTTCATCATGCTCTGCGTGCCTGCACAGCCTATATACACCCAAAAGTGTATGTATACGATAACGTCAAACCTGAGAATTAATTCGCGCCGTCCGTTGTTATGTTGCTGCTGCTGCCGTTGCGCATCATCTGCAGACTCTCTCCTCTCTCGAGAGAGAAAGAGAGAGCGCTTGAAAGCCTCCCAGGCTTTTTGAAGCGTTATAATGTACAAAATGTGATAGCATAATCTAACTGGCTTTAGGGCTTCGCTACTTGGCTCTCTGGCGCTTCTTCTTCTATACGATATAAACTCGCAGTGCTTACGGGCGCGTCGCGCTTACGACGCGCACCACAGAAGTAACGTAAATCGAATGTACATCTTTTAGAGTTAGACACTCCGACACTTTGCTAAGTCTCGTTTGAAAGCTCAAAAAAATAAAATACTTAATTCTTCCGTGGCATCAATTGGAATGCGCCGGAAAGGGAGTCGAAAACAAATCGGCGTATCGGTTCATTTCGCACCCTCTTAACGCGTGTGCACTGCAGAAAGGCCAAGCGTGCATCGGCAATGTCTGCACTTGATTCCTTTTTTTATTTTTTTTTTCAATTTACAGGGCGTACGCTTTTTTCCGAACGATTATCTCTGCATTGTGCCCGGCTGCGCCCGCACGAGAGCAAAGGGTTGTCACGACTATGCACATATGCAGTACCACCCGCGCGAGCTTGAATATCAAGCGAGAGAGATAGTGACTTGCCAGCGGCATATGATGTGCATTATCGTGTGTGACTCTGCTGCTGCTGCCGCTGATGCACGCATTGAAAGTGCAACCGAATATCGCAGCTAGAGAGAGACAGAGGTACACGCGTTAGTGTTCGAATTCAGTGGCGCTTGAACGTGATATCGTTTTTGTTGTGCTTGCTTGACGCGCTGATGGATATGCAGCAGCACACACTGCAGCGCCTGACCAAAATTCCTAGACTCGAGATACCTGCAGCTGTGTGCAGTGGCAACGATTCGATGCGCAGTTGTTTTATCGTGGCGCTAATCTCTTTCGTTTGATGTACATATGTAGCATCAATCGGAGAGTCATTCAGAGTCCACTACTTCGAAGAATTTTTTAATTAAAGCTCCACCACTGCTTATCATATTTCGAGACAGAAACGCAGTGCCCCCTCAGGTGTACAGTATACCGATACAGTAGACGCGTTGAAGAGGGAGTTGGGGCTGCAACGGTGAAGCTATATTATAGGATTACGTTGCATCTGCTGGCCCACGCGTCGGTGCGTCGGTGTATATAGTAATAACAATAATGATAATAATAATGCGTAAGCTACAGGGTGTGGAGCTCCTCGCAGTATATATAATACGTGCATCCACGTAAAAGCCCTTATGATTCCGGACTGTGTTTAGCTCGATTATCTCTATCCGGCAGATCCGACCTGTTTCTCTTTCTCTCTTGCTCGCTCTCTTAGGCTGCCAACAACTTTCCAGGAGTTTCGCGCAAGCTTATGAGGCTTCCAACTAGGCGCGTCGTGAATAAGTAAGCAAAGTGTTGCGAAGTTACCATCCTCCGTCCCACCCCCCTCTCCAACTCTAGATTGTATATAATGCTCTTATATCGGCGAATTAAATTGTTACACGCTTCGCGTACTGTTTTCCTCCTCACTTGTGCGCTCTGGCTCCGACGAAAGTCGTCCGAAGCGACGAGGAGTGAAGTCTCGACTCGCGTCACTGACAAAAATACACAATATATATACGTATCCAAAGCGTACAGCTCAATTTTGAGGGCTGCTTCGTTTGGCGCGGCGCATCTTTATATATAAAGTCGAGGAAAAGCATAATTGCGCGCGCGATCGCGTGAGACATCTGGGGCTTGAAAAGAGACGAGTTTAAGCTATGGGGATGGCTGCTGCTGCTACTGCTGCCTCTTGCACGAGTGCAGAGTTCGAAAACTATGCGAGCTACGCTGGGCGCGCGTGTGTGTGTGTGTGTGTGTGCTCGCGCGTGCCTCCGGGGGAGAAATTCGTACGTCAGATGCAAATCATCTCGGCTAATTTCTCGGAAAATTTGCGAATCCTCGGGTTGCTACTGCCGCTGCCGTTGTGTGTTGCTTCTGTTCTCGCCGCCGCGTCAAAACTTGAACTTGGAGAGTACATGGTGGATATTATATACATAATAATACACGTAAACGTGCCTATGCGAAAGACGAAGATTTGGCGCTGCAGCAGCCGCCGTGATATAGACTATTATGCGGCCCAGCGTTAAGCGCATCGAGCTCGATCTTTCCGTTTCGAATAGCAGCAGCTATACCTACGTATAGTCTCTCTGGCACTCATGCGCGAAACGTCGCGCGCATTTGTCCTGATGTATAATTTCATTAAACAAGTCTGCGCTGCGACGCTCTCTTCCACTTACTATCTCGAAACTTTGTTTGTACGCTCGCGTGTCGTAATATGTATGTGTGTAACTTGCTAATTCAGACGCCTTCGTGCGGTTTTCTTATATGATTCCGCGTGTGGCAGCGCCTTCTGTCTATTCTCGTACACGCGCATAAGCAGAAACTTTCGAATAATTAGTTTATTTGATAACTCGATTGATTTTTTTTTCTATTTGCAGCTCAAAGGATACACTGCAGGGAAGGGAGACGAATCGCAGCCGCTCCTCTCATATCTGTGAGTACTTTTTTTACTATTGTTCTTCGCACTCTCATGTACTAATTTTTTTTACAACTAAATACGAGCATGAAACATTTTAACCGCTGATTTCGCTAGCACGACATAATTTTACCATATAGCTTGCTTGCTTACCCTTGCTAAAATTTCAATTCACTGGTTCTCGAGCGGGGCTCACTTGATACCTATCGTTCGGCCGCAGTCCGAAGCGTTTTTAGCGTTAATTTAAAAGAGAGAAAACCCGACGACTGAGAAACTGTGTGTAACTTGACCAGTGCCCTGTATAAAGTGTATGTATACATTCCTGGGTATGTGTGTGTATGTACGTATAGTTTACCCGAAGCTACGACAAGAACGACGACGACGACGACGAAGCTCCGAGTCACGCGATATTGCAGCACACAGAGCCCAAGAGTCAAGCATATAAAACACTTAAGCAGTTTTATTCCTTGTGTACGCCTTTTTTATTCGCGAGTGCAATGGTCTTTGGTCGTACTGGCGCGCCTTGCTTTAAGGGGGGCTACTACTACTGGTAAGCTTTCTCGCGCGTGGGCACACGATACCTATCGCCCGCAGCCGGCCGGCAACCGACCTCGAGCTCGCGCGCGCTTTACAAAGAGAATGAATTTATTCCGCACAATGCCAGTCTTAATAATACATTATAGCAATAGCCCAGCGCGGGTGCAGGAGGAGAACACGAGCCAAAGGGAAATTCTACGAAATAAAAGCTCGCGGGAGGAGGAAAAGTTAAGAGCGTCATTTTTCAAATGTACCGTGCAGTACAGCAGTTAACCGTGTGACTATAAGAATTATACAATCGCGAGGAGATATGCCGCTACTGCTGCCCCCCTTTTATTGTGCCGCGAGAATTGCTGCGGTGGAGGGATTTATACATTTGACAAACAAAAGGCGTCTTATGAGCGGTACTCAAGAGAGAAAGAGAGAGATGCCCAGCCGCCAATCCTTCAAGACGATCGACGATACTCGTGAGCTTGGGCAAGAATCATTGCAGCTTTACATAGCGCATCGTTTTAAAAACAAATAAACGAACGCAGTCTTGGTGCAAGCAGCGCAAACTTGAAAATTCGAAAAGTCTCGCGTCAGTCTAGTCGCAGCCATTTGACTTCCGGCGTGTCTCGAGGGCTGCTTCCGGTGACCGTTTCGCGCAAGCCCGCCTGACTGTACAGCGAAAGAGAGAGTAAAGAGATTCGTACGCACGATTATATTCAAATTAAATGAGAAGTCTAACCAGTAATATACTGCTGCCAATTTAGTTACAAGCCCCCTGGGGATCACGTTGCTGCGGTCGTTGTGCAGTATAACTTGGCGTACAGCAGCACACCGCACACACACACACAAACAGGGCATAAAGCGCGCGCCGTGCTCGTCGACTTTTTCGCACTTTCTTACTCTCGCGTGTGTATTTCATTCGCTCGGAATCGTTATTTTGTTGCTGCTGCTGCTTGTCGTTGGTTTTTGCTTTTTATATGACCACGCGCGCCGCGCCGTCGCTTATTAAATCGTTGGTATTATTTGCTCGTTTTACACATGGTAGCGCGCGTGCAACGAAATAATTAGCTAACCGCGTTGTTTTCGAATTAAAAGCCTCGTCGCCATCGTCGTCAGCATTATCAATCGGAAAATCGTTGAACAGTGCTGCGTGCGTTCGATATATATCGTCGAAGCTAAAGTTGCTGCAGTTACGCGTTCCATATAAATCGCGATCGACTGCGAAATTCAAGACTTACACAGCGTAGCGCTACGCGCTATCTAGATGAGCTTATGTAAAATACAAAAGCTCGCCTTCTCTCCCTCGTCAGAAGCTCGCATTTGCCAGCTTCTATGCGGTATCGAGAGTTCGACTTCGTACATTTACACGCACACACGTATACTCGATGTGTGTACCCATTGTGTCGAAGAAAGCTCTAGTCGCTTTTCGTCGTGTGCTTATAAATAGACAAAACTCTCGGCCGTGAATGGAGATGTTATCGACTTTATTCGCAAATTCGAGAACCCGAATTGAAATTTACGTCAACGAGTCGCGTTATTATCATTATTACAATTTTTTATTACCTGTGATTGCACTGCTGACAGGCGAAGCACTCGAGATGATAGACGTTCGTTCTGGCTCGCATGACCATCTCGAAGGCCGGTATTACCTTGCTGCAGGCCGCGCAGTGTCCAGTGTTGCCGAATAATCTGCGGGGATGAGAAGAAATTAGACGTGTACATATTATGACAAAATCAGCATACACGTACTAAATCGTCGCAATATACGCCAATAAATTTTAATCGTGCAATGTCAAAAGATCGATAGCTCGCGCACCACCGATCCGCAGGTGGAAAGCGTTGTACCCACTCTCGTCGTCGTCTTTGCATACTCGTGTGCAACACCCACGCTACAGCAGAGCTAGCTAGTGATAAATCGAATTTTACAGATGAGTTTCTCTTATTGAATATCCGAGCCGAGCGAGAGTGAGAGAGAGGCCGGCTGCAGGAGTTGAAACGAGAGCGAGAGAGGCGCGCGCGCGTATACTTCTCCCTTTGCAAAGCAAACAAACTCCCGAGCAAATAAGCCCCTGCGCTGCCGTATATATAAAGCGTGGGCGAGCCTGCGCTACGCACGTATATGTATACGCGCGAATCAAGAGAATGAGAAATTGCGTCGCGAGAGTAGCTGGCACAAGCCGATTCCCAAGGGACTCCGACCCGCGCACGCAGAGAGTAGTCTACTGCGCGCGTACGCCTAAATCTCTGTATATGTATGTGTGTGCGTGCGAGTATGTACGTGAGTGCAGGTGCCGCAACGGCCCATTGAAACTATAAAGGCTTTATTAATGGGCTAATATTTGAGGACGATAGCTTTCGACTACATACATACGTATAAACGCGGAACGATCGTATTAGTTTATCGGCGCGTCGGCTGTTTTCCATTCCCCCGACGCCACGCATCGCAGCGTGCATTCGTCGCGTTCGCGTATACTGCACTTAGCTTTAATAGCGGAGAAAAAATTATCTTTACCGTAAGTAATCTCGCTTGCAGAGTATGAGATTGGCTTTGGTGTAGCAGGTCGAGCCCACTTCGCCGAGTCTGCAATCGCAGCATCCGCACTTGAGGCAGTCCTCGTGCCAATACATGTCCAACGCTCTCAGCAGATACCTGTCGAGAAAAACATTTCAATTTTGTATACTTGTATAATCGTTGATTAAAATATAACTTGATGAGTGTAATTACCTCTCGGTGATGGGTTTTCTGCATCCAGCGCATTCCTGCTGGCTGGAACCATTTCTGTTTGGCTCAGTTTTATTTATGTCCATAGTCATTTTTTGCCTCTATAACGATTCTGCAAAATGATCAAGACAAAAATATAATGAGTGTCTCGAATGAGACTTAGCATGCGTGTGTGTATATAGCGTAGGCAAAGATTCGGAGGGTGTCAGAAAAAGAAACGAACGAGTGAGAAGGACAAGTGCTGCCCTGGCTATGTGTGTAGTGCGGCGTGTGGGCTACGCAGTGTCAGCGGTCATCGCAGGGGGCAACCAGTCGCGCGCTCTAAACAAGTTTTCAGCAGCAGCTGTTGCAACGAGAGCAGACGTATTCTCTCTCCCTCTACAACTAGCCTCCCGTGTTCCGCTCAGATCCGGGTTTGTCTATGAGTAATTAGAGTTACGGTTTGAGAATTCAACCACGGTTTAGTGTGCCATCTGCGTCCAGCAGCAGCAGCAGTGGCAGCGGTGCAGGCCGAGTGCGGGAGAGGACTATACTGCTGTTACCGCGACGATGTCGCTTGTTCCTCGCTGCTGTTTCTGCTGTTATCCGCGTTTGGTCAGAGTTTAGAATTGAATTAGTTTGACCATCACTCTTTGGCTATTTAAAAAACGACTTTTTATGTACTTATTGAAACTCGCTTTGTATGGCTTAACGCTTAACACGCTTCGTTTCTTTTTTTGTGAACACTTTTTTAAAGCTTGTGTTGCTAATTTATCTGCTCAAAAATCAAGATCACATTGAAGAATCATACAAGTCACAGTCATAAGTACGATTTCATTATTATTCATTCTAAATTTCATCGTTTCATAATTTTGTACATTTTTCATAAAATTTTTCAATCATACAGCTAATGTCATCTCATTTCCAAAAAACATAATGAATATGCGTCACTGCATTATAAGTAAGTTATTACTTTAATTGCATCTTACGTGTTACTTGGTTAATCATAATTCTATGAAATGTCACTATTTTACTTTTAGGTTGCTCGAACATAACTATAGAAAAATGAATGCTCAAGAACTTTGTCAAAAGCGAGATCTTTTGGACTCGCAGATGTCGAATACCGAAAAATCGCTGAAGGAAACATTCAAAGACGATTGGAATACTCTGGATTCGAAGATTCAAGCTTACAACGAATACTGGGAAGCATACGAAGATGTTCATTTACAATTGAACACGACTAGAAAAAATTCTGGCAAATTTCTCGAAGATGATTTTTTCCAATCGGAAAGCTTCAACGCATTCGCGAGTGCGATGCACGATCTGGAATCATCGGGATCCAAGGACTCGTCGAGAAAATCTTCTCTCGCCGATGATAAATTGCCAACGTTTTCAGGAAAATTAGACGATTGGCAGACCTTTCGAGATACGTACATTTCTAAAATCCACGAAAATACAGATTTGACAGTGGCTCAGAAACTCAAGTGTCTGAAATCGGTCGTAGGCAATTCACACTTGTCCAAAGCTACCGAGGAGGATTACTTCAATGTCTGGGCTGATTTTAAAACCTACTACGACAATGGCGAAATCGACGATACCTCATCGGAGCTATCTTAAAAAAAAATGTAACAATATACGACTTATAAATAATGAATTTTATCGAAATGTATCTAACAAATATTACGTAACAAATAAACGAAAATATAGTATAAATGAATTCTTAATAGCGGATCAAAGGAGCGAATATTGCGCGCTCGCCTCTATATAAACAGCAGTAGCACAGCTTCTGAGCAACGAAGTTTCGACCACACGAAGATATTAGGGTCCCCGGGTTAATAATATTGTCCACGTTTTCGCCAACCGAGGCTGAGGCAGCGGCAGCAGCAGATATTGAAACCGCATAAAGTTTGTTCATATATAAGCCCGAGCTTGCACACTGCATAGCCTAGCAGCAGTATAGGATAGTTGTCACGCAGTTTGTCTCAAAGGCGTTATAAACTATATGTATGCGCCGGCCGCGAGCTTGCCAAGTACTACGCATACGTACGACAATTTTGCCGGGTATATGATAGAACGCACGCATATTTTACGAGCAGCAGCATCGCGTCTTTAAGGACTCGAGTCAAGTCATGATCGGGCGATCGGGTCAGTAGTCGTACACGTGCACGCGCGAGTACGGAATCAATCACGTATGCCATTAATCCCCAGCATCTTAACTATTCGCGATGCTGCTGGGCATCAACATCTTGCCCTGAGCTATATCTATCTACTATATATAACGTGCCATATCGTCTTCGTTCACACATATTCACGTACACACGCACATCAGACACACGAGAACTAGTATGTTAACCCCTCCGGCGGCGGAAATTCCTGTGCGTGGACGCAGGGCAAATTCCTGCGTTGAGCGCGGGCGGGGAGAGAGATGACGTCGTCGTACAGAGGGTTTGACATTCTCGAACTCGAGGGAGTAGCAGCTAAAAAGCTCGGCCGGCCGTTAACAAGCGTATTCGCGCGCGCGTTCATCTCTCGCGCTATCTTCTCGTCGTCCTCATCGTCGCTTATCGGTACAAGCGGTATATAGTTACTATCTACTAGTTGTATACACGACGACGTGAGCGTGTCTCTCTCACTTTGTGTATATTCCGAATAAACACAACAGCAGCAGATCTTGCGCTACTGCCACTGCTGCTGCTGCTCATCTCCATGCCCGAGCTCATCTTCGTCGCTCGAGCGGGCAAGTTTACTTTGTGCCGAGTGAAAAGAGGGTTGAAATTGTTGCGCCGTGTCACTATATCTCTATATCTATATACGTTGTAGCCTGTGTGATTTTCTCTCCACAGACTTGCTTTGCTACTACTAGGTAGCTCCCGTTCCATATCTCTCTCGTTCTGTGCAGCAGCTATCTCTCTTTCGTGAATACCTTTGGCTTTTCACTGGTATTTACAGTGGCGAACCGCAAAACTACCTTAACCATGGTCGAGTGGCCGCATTCTTTTCCTCGGTGCGGTGGTTGCGAGCGAGCGGCCAAAAGCGCCGTTTTATTATATATCATGCCGTCCTGCTATATACTCGCGCAGTTTTCTGTTTGTATACTTATACCGATATTCACAACAACAATGCCAAGTTATTTTTCTCTTCTTACGTACGCTCGCGTAGTCAAGGAAAAAACGCCCTTAGCCGGACTCGTAGTCTCGAAGTACTTTGAACCTCGGCGTCGTTATACACCTTGACACACGAGCAACTTACGCGACCCTAATCTAGCTCCGAAGGGGGTATAAGGTCGAGTAATCAGTACAAAGAGCCGGGCAATTTCGAGCCGATTCATTGGTCTGCGACGAGTTGAGTAGCAGTCGACACCGCGTAAAGAGGCCAGTTACTACCTACAGCGAGAGAGAGAATATAAGCAGTGGCAGCAGAATCAGCACATGCGAATACTGGAACGGTTATATTACGTACGGCAGCAGGCTATAAGTGGCTCGCATCATTGCGGCGGTAATACGGCAATCTCGATACGGCCGACGACGCGCGATTCTCTCTCTCTCGTGATACGTATTATATACGCCTTGTATTATACCAGTGAGAGAGCGGAGTGTGCGTACGTGTGTGTGGATATATACATTCATCCCCCGTTCATCGGCTCGTTCATCACTTATCTCTCGGCCTCGTGATCCTCAAAGCGACGATAATTCAATTATGCTCTCTCTCTCTCTCTCTCTCTCTCTCTCTCTCTCTCGCTCTCACTGACTCTCTCACTGAAACGGAGCCTGTCTATCGCTCATCATGCGCTAACCTCCTCTCGTGCTGTGAATATATACACATCTCTGCAACCGTCGCGCTGATGCCGATGCTGCCAGCACGCATATTGCTGCAGCAGTAGCCCCTTTCGTCGTGGGGCAGTGCAGATCTCATTCGCTCGTTTGCTCTTACTCGGGCTCGCTGGCGACAGAAACCTTTGTGTGTGCGTATATACATTGCGCGCCCCGGCCTTTATCGAATATCGAGTCAATTAGTCTTCGATGAGTACCACCACCGCATCGCATCAGCAGCTGCATTCGGATCCCTCGCTCTCTCTCGACCCGATCTGCACTGCAGCGCGCCGCGTGTCCATCTCTATAATAAACGAACGCATTCCCGTGGCAGTTACGAGTTCTTTGTGCACGTTATACTTTTTTCCCCTATACCTGCGCGTAACGATTTTAATTAGCTCGATTAGCTGTCACGCTTTCACGCAAGATCTCTTCTTTTTCCTCTTGGCTGCGCTATAACGATATAACGAGTCGATAATACCGCATCTAAGAAGATTTATGGAATTTTCAATAAACAACTTACGCGCGCGTTAAAGCACGCGTTTATCTGCACTGGATATACAATGTGTATTTACAACGCAAGACGACGCGATTATCTCTATCGCTTCGTGAAACACCACCCCTGCAGCAGCGGCGCAAGTACACATTCGAGCGAGAGCTGAATCGGTTCGATCAAGCGTGAACCACATCTCCCGTATACAATACATCCACGTGCGGAAAGACACTGAGATATACACTCGGCAGTCTATTTGCCCTCCGTCTTGTTACGTGCATAATATAACTTTGCGTTATGGGAAATCGACGACGACGACGACGCGTCACCTTCGCCCGTCTTTATCAGGAAAATCGTTCCATCTTGGGCATCGAGTTAATCCACGCAGTGCTGTTGCTTGCGATAGGAAAATTTGACTCGCAAACTTGCATTGAGTTATAAATTGGCAGTCGTGCATGGTATCGTGTATAAGTTGGAATTTTAAATTTTTCAGGGAATCTCGCGTACTTATCATAATCGAATGTACCATGCAATATCGAGCCACTTTCCGTGGTATTATCGCTTTTGATTAAGGATACGAGCGCGTATGCATAAAACCAATTTTGATCTATGCCAGGGAAAGTCCGATTGGTTTTTTTACCTCGATAAATTTATTTTTACTAGTGGCATACCTCGTCAGTAATGCGCAGATTAACAGTAGCAGCCCCGTGGCGGCAGCCGAATAGCTATAAAATTTCCCCAATCCAATGTTTAATGTAACGCACACAAAAGCTTGCTCGAGTTTCAATTAATTAGGTATCGCTCGCGATTACAATACGAGAGACCCTTTTATCCATGAAATTTAACGACTGAGGAATAAAATTTCCAAATCGATAAATTATTCATCCGCACCGACGCATTATAATTTTACCGCGCACAACTTACGCGTTGCGATATCGATGGTGGAAATTTAATAATGATACGAACGAAATTTCATAAGTGTGGTGACCTTTAAAAAAGCTCAGGGTTGAATTAGAGTGTGATACGGCGTTTTTTTCCACTCCCTCTTTCTCACCTGGTTCAAATTTCACTTCGAGCACCAAGAGACATCGGAGTCACTTCGCCGATGGAAATCGATCCTAGTCTTCTTTTTATCTCACTAGCAACTTCAATCACTGTACATAAAACACTAGAGAATCGGCACAATCTGCGGCTAAAAATCGCTAGGGGCGCGCGGCACGCTTACTGCACACTATATGACGTCGTACGCGTAATACAATAGCACCGGATCCGCACCAGTAGTTGGCCGCGACCAGTCCGTGGGAGCGCGCGTCTACGTTCTGCTAGTGGTAGTCGCTCGCGCCGCTGCTATAATGTAGGTTAACGCGGAAAAAGTAGCCGCCACACTACGGGGGCTGTTTGGGCGCGAGCGCGCCCGCGCACATGCTCTCTCGGCTCCCGTTATACCTACGTGCAGCAGCGGAGCCCACCGCGTGGCGATGCTTCTGCTCTAAACTGCTGCGGCGTTTGCGCCAGAGCAGCGGAACATTGCCAGGCCCCTCCGGCCAAGAGGCTCCGCCCTTGTCACACCCTCCCCACCCACCACCCAAAGCCCATCTTGCGCGGAGAGCTTGGTGCTTGCGCGTATAATGCTGTAGCTGCAGCGAGTCGCTGCGCCAAGATATATATATCATATAGCTGCAGCAGAAGTAGCAGCCGGAAGACAGCCAGCAGCAGCTGGGCTTCGCACACTTAAACTTCGGGGTAAAAATTGTTTGACACTGATACCGATGATTTTCTTTCGAGCTTTTAATGATTACGTAATATCTTTATTAAAAAGATGATATTGCTAAATAAAGAATAGAGAATAAAATTTCATTTTGCAATCGATACTTCTTTATATTGGTCTTAATTGGATCAGTATAAATAATTTCTTTCAGTATTTTATTTTTAGTATTTTTGACTTATCTCGAGTAAATATATTTGATACAAGTAGATAAAGTCACTATTTGATCAGACACTCACGCAAATTTTCAAATTCGACCAAATCTTTTCAGTTTTTAATTAAGGTTTTGCATTGCATAAAACACAACTATTTTATAATAATACTTTCTATAACTAATCAAAAAAGTTCTATTTTTAGTATCAAAAGTCATGATAATCATCGTTGCATTGTTTTCTCTACTGCAAATCTTACTCACCTTACTCGCATGTGCTAGGCATATTCTCTCCTCGTCGTCGCTCTCTTCATGCAGCGGTCTCATAAAGTCCAGAAATACGGCAAAATTACGCTTGCAACTATCATATTTCTCGCAACAAAAGCCGTAAATTCCCATTAGAGTCGTTGCTCGCGTTCTTATCTCGGCAGGCAGAGAAGAGCTAGAATGTGTATAGCCGCGTGCGAGGCTGCTGCTACTGCTTCTCCGTACAGTACTGTTTCAGCCTTTTTCTCCCATCCGCTAATTGACCATCTAATTTCGCAGCAAGCGAGAGAGAGAGAGAGAGAGAGAGAGGAGAAAAGAGCAAGTCTATTCATACCTCGGAGCTCGGCTCGCGCAAAATTCAAAGACTCGGGTACTATACTGATGCAGAAGAGAGAGAAATAGTGAGGGAGGTTTCCATTTCACCGGCTTTTGTCCTTAATTCCCTGGCAGTTCCGTTATCTTGTACTTTTGGGGATAGGTCTCTGTCGGCATAGAAAAGGGTCGTATGCTTCGCACATACACAGTCAAAGTTATGTATGCAAAACACGCTGTCGCGCACTACTGCAAGATCGCTAAGTCGCCAAAATTTATACACTCGCAATTTTTCCGCAAGAAATGTAAATCGTTCGCGCACCCGAGCAATAGTAGGAGTAAAGAAGGGTAAGGCGATCGATCAAAGTGAAAATAACAGTGGATTCAGAGAGCGTCGCAGCGATAAAAAGGATTGGCACTTGGCTCTCTCTGGCAATGGCCATAATTACCCAGGCCATTTAATTATTCGCAACAATTATCCCGAATTAAAATTCTAGGACTAAGTAGTCATAAATTAGGCGAGATTTGTTGTTGCACGAAATGAATTAAGTCGGCTAACATAACGCGAAAAAGCCGAGGCACGAGCGTGACGCTGCTGCTCGTCGCGATAAAAGAAGACCAAGGAGCTGAGTACGAGGATGAGGAGGAGCTAGTCGCGTGTATGAAAAAGAACGAGACAGCAGCTAGTGTGGCTGGTCCATTAATTAGTTGAAGCACATTAAGCCGAGCATTAATATACTCGAGGCTAGAGCAACGCTCAGTGTTTTGTTTTATCCCGCGGACGCGCGCCCGAGGAAGCTCGGCTCTTCTCAAGTAATCCTCCAGCCATTTCCCCTAGGACTGTTTAAATTCTGCAAATCGCCCGTCCTCGACTCTCCCTCTTCATCCTCCTTCTCTCTCTTTCTGGCATAGCAGCGATGGGCCTTTTCTCGTTTCTTTTTTCGTTTCCTTTTCGCGCCGACTTAGTGTACGACTGTGTGACACGCGGCCTGCAGACCCGCTGCTACGATGTGCCGCAGCCTCGTTGAATCGCAAATTTACCGGGGGGATTTTGCCCGCCGCGCCGATAACGACTGTCGAAACGCTTTACATTTCGCTGCTATATATCGACGAATTTGAGATTCATGTTCCAAACCGTGACGCTCGAGGATGAAGGGATTAGCTTCTCGCCGATAATACTGAATATTAATGAAATTTCTTATTGGGATTGTATTTTTCCTGAAGCAGCAGAGAGGAAGAATTGCAGCACTCGTTAATCGATGCTTCGAGATGCTCAATTAGCTCGGGTTTGCCTACCTCTTTCTATAATACAAGCTAATTTATGTAAGCACGTACAATAAAATGGGAAAATTCCTTTGCGTTCGCACCGGAAGATAGAAGCGGGTGGAAAACGGGACAGAGACATTATCCGAGCGCTTCGCGTAATTCTTTAAAATAGCTGCTGCCGCCATTCCTTCCCGCGTATACGCTTTCACAGTAGGGCCAAGATTAAGCGCAAACGACTCCGAGAGTTCTGTTCGGATTTGGCCGAATATCCTTTTCAAAGCCCTTCAGGCGCTATCGCAAATGCCCCGGCCGGCAGCGGCAACGGCCTCGACCTCGGCCAGTTTTATCCTCTCGCACACAAATGCTAATGTCTAATTACAGTCTGCACACACGCATTTATACGATTACACATTCGCGTACGAGCGGCGCGCGCGCTCGCGTCAAGTTTTTGCGCTTACGTGCGTGGGCTTAAAACATCCCTTAAATTACCCCCCTCGCTCGCGTATACATAGGTATATACGTAACGCGTGAAACGCGCGTCTATGTATGTACGGGAGCGGCAGTAGCAACGGCTGCGCTACGCTCACATTAGCGGATGGTCGGGGGCATTTAGCCGAGATTTATTTCATGCGAAATATTCCCTTTTGCACATTAAATTACATCGTCCGGCCGTGGGTGCTTATACCGCTACATGCTCGCGTGCTCGGCGCATTGTGTGTGCGTTATACCTTATACCTTATACCTACGTGATACGATCCGGCTTGTTGCGTGCTTCTCTGTATAATAGGTGTGTATAGTATTATAAGCTCACACACGTACGTACGTATGCGTGCATTATTGTGCGTACGGGCGTGGGTGTACATTGCTACTGCTGCTGTCCGGGCCGACCTCGAACTCTCCCATACATAGTCCATTTCTTGTGTTTGTGCTATTTTTTCTAACGAGCGATGCCGCGCCACATACGCGAAAGTGAGGCTCATTACAGCTGTATACGCACCCTTTACTTGGCCGCGCTTTGTATGCGAAAGCTTCGTTTTGCATTATTTGCCTTTTATACCTTGGATTGAAATAAAGTGTGTACAGCTGCTGGACTATTCCTTCGCAATGAAATTACAATATCCATCGTAATATATCGTGGTATTTCATTATTCTTTCGTGTGCATTATATCGATAGACGAAATAATTTTTATCCGCTATTAGCTTTATGCGCGTGAAATTCGGACCAAGTCGAGGTTTTTTAAATTCAAATGAAGTGCTCGAATTATCTCGAGCAGTTACAAGACAATTATCAGCAGGCAGTATAAGCAGCGGCGAGAGAGTGTAAAGCGAGGAAATCGTTCCTCCTTTGAAAAATGTTTATTTACCCGACTTCCTAAAAGTCTACAAAAGAGAGCGGGCGGACCCGAGTGCGCGCGTTTTCCGCCTAGCCGGCAAGATTAAAGTTAAGGCAAACGTGTTCATCCTCCTTTTCCGCACTCTCTCTCTCACTGTGCTGATACTGCTGCTGCTGCTGCTTGCTGTGTATACCCCTCGACGAGCAAAGTAAGGGGTTGCGCGTAGCAGCTAATGAAATTCTAGTCAGGTCTCCGGATTCTTTCGTCAGGTGCGCGCTTCGCGTCGACCCCTTTTTTTGGGTTTGCGTTTCAGCGCCTCGCGAGATAGGCTCTCTCTTGCTCTCTTGCTCCGAATGTATACACGCTTACTCTCGTAAGGGAAAAAAGGGAACAGTAGGAAAAGAAAAAAAGGAGGAAGAGAAAGGCACGCACTCCTGATAAAGATGTAAAAGAAGTTCACGCAGAAAAGTGTTGACTTTATCAGTGGCGCTGCATCGGGCGACAGCGAATGTAATGAGCCCGGACGTGCGTCTTGTGTGATACGCGTACAAGCTGAGAAACTTTGAACGAGTCAAATTTAACTTTCTCGGCAATAAATCTTTACTCTCTCTCTCTCTCTTTCTCTTTCTCTCCGTTTTTCTCTGTACCTTTTCTTTTTGCCTCTATAACTCACCCAGGCATTTTTCCACCCTTTTGTTTTTCGATTACGATTTGCCAATGATGACGTTACGACTAACGCAATGATTTCCCTGGGCTTAGAGGGCATTATAATACGCATACGTAGTCACGGCGGTAGTTTTGCCTGGAAAAGGCCTGGGTTGAAACTTTATATATATTTCGCGTCAACGTCCAGCCGTGCAAAGCTGTGCCGGCAGCAGCAACAGCGGCAGCGGTATCCACATATATGCGCGCGGGCAAGCGAGCTTGAAATAGGGGTATGGCGTGCAGTGCAGATTACAGTTAAGCTATGCTCGTACGTGCTACTGGCTCCAAAAGTTGACTGCCTACGTTCTCTCTCTCTCTCGCTCTCGCTCTTCTACCCGCATACCAGCCAAACTTTTTTTTGTTTTTTGCTTTTTTGCTCGGCCAGAGCTAGCAGCAGCGAGTTTCGTGCTCTTGAAAGCGTGCGTGAATTATATTTATTGTTGTTTGTTCAGTGGTCTGTGTGTGTATTTCCCTCTTTCCCTCTCCTCTCTCTTTATTTATATACGTGCATACAAAACATAAAAAATCGACTGTGTATACGTATAAGCGTAGGTACGAGCCCTCGAATAAATTAGTGCGCTTCTCTCTCTCTCTCTCTCTCT